CAAAGCTAGAATATAATGAAATAACAAAATCAAAGAACCAAAAACACAAAACACTGGGTCAATGACCCAGGGACCCTAACACATGTATCTGTGGCTTTTATTCAAAATGTGAAGCACTTTGTAATTCTGTTTTGAAAATTGCTGTATAAGTAAATTCACTATTATTAATAGTTACTTACTTAACCTCTGGTTTTATTGTTGCATGTTTATATAGAATGAGTATCTAGTTGGATACCCAATTTCTAACATTTTATGGCCAAGTATAATAAGCTCAGTTTCATATCAATTTAGAATCACTAAAATATGGTATGTGGCATTCATTGATAGATAGAGCTAGTTATAATCTTCATAGCACTGATAATGTATGATATGCCTAAGAGAAACGTGGAATATAAAAAGAATTCGTCCTACCACAGAACCATGTGGAACTCTATCATTACCCTTAGAGTGTGAATAGGACTCCACATTTTCATGAACAAATTCCAGTCTGGTAGATAGATATGATTTAAGGCACTGTAGCCTAGTACTTGTAATACCTATGGTACTCTCAAATTGCTGTGATAAAATATTATGCTCAACATTATCAAACACTGCACTGACATCTAGAAGAACGAGCACAGAGATGATTCCGCTGTCAGAGGCCATAAGAACATAATTTTCAATCTTTACTAATGCTGTTTTTTGTACTGTGATGTTCTGAAGCTTGATTGAAACTTTTCACATACCATTACTCTGCAGATGATCAGTTAGCTTTCATCCTCATTTACTACTACTAAACTACTATTTCAAGAATTTTTCTGCTAAAAGAAAGGTTGAAGGTTAAAATTAGCTATTACCTATAATTAGCTAAGACAGGTGGGTCAAGTTTAACTACTGCTAACCTGTGGTAAGCAGCCCACTAACAGAGACAGACTGATCATATTTCAGGTTGTTTCATATATAAAGAAAACAGTGTAGGCATCATTAACACAAGATTTGCCACAAAAAAAGTCTCTGTTTCATAAATCATTTATGTATGTAGAATCATAGTCTTCCAAATGATCATCATTCATACTAGAACAACCTTAAAATATGTTTTCTAATTTCTGGTAATTTAAGGCCATACACAAGAGGATTTAAAGCTGGAGGAATCACAACAAACACCAGTGATAAAATGACAGCTATAAATGGATTAGTCACTTCAAGATTATTCCGGCTCAAGGCAACATCACAAAATCCAGCAATAGAATAAATCACAAATGAAATTGTGTGTGGCAGACAGCTCTCTAATACCTTACCCTTAAATTCTGCTGAGCTTTTCCAGCAAATAGACACAATTCGTAAATAGGTGTAGAGGATATAAAAGAGGGGAAGGAAAATTGTGGCTACAGTCAAAAGCATACCTACAACATTGTTGACAGCAGTGTTAACACAAGACAATTTGACTACATTCCAGTTAGCACAGAATACTTTGTGGATCTCATTACCACATAAAGGAAGTGTGGCAGACAAACAAAGACATGCTGCAAGAGAAAATGCAGGAAAAATCCAAGCCAGTGCTGTCAACTTCACAACAGTTTCAAGAGTCATCTTTGTGTGATAGTGTAAAGGAAGGCAAACAGCTATGTATCTGTCATAAGCCATAATACTGAGAACAGTCAGTTCACAGGATGCATATGAGTAAATTACATAGATCTGAGTGAAACAAGCAGGACGTGAGATCAAATGAGTGTCAGACAGAAGGTCCATGAGAAATCTGGGGAAGAAACCTGAAGACCCATACAAAGCATTAACAGATAAACATGCAATGAAAATATACATGGGCTCATGTAATGTTGTTTGTTGGGATATTACCACTATCATGAGAAGATTAGTAAAGATGGTAAAGATGAAGAGCAGAAGACAAAAAATAAAGGCTATAAAGCGGTAATGTCCGATGTTTGCAAACATGGTGAAGCGAAAGTAAAATGACAGAGTGCTATTTTCCATTTCACTTCATAGAGTCAGTGACACGGAAATCATTTCTTAGTTTGGTATGGTCTGAGAAACAATGGTCTTAATGACAGCATCTGTGGAAAAGGAACATGGAAACAGCTGTGTTATAAAATACGGTCAATACATTAATCATAACTGGTATCTCCATACCTACCAGACTATGGTTCATTCACTACTTCAGTCACTACACTACTTTTAGCTTTGTTTTGCTCATAAAATAGGTTGTTGGTCACATTTGTAGACACCACACAACAACATTAGGTGATAGGAGGAGTTTTGTAATGTTGTTGACTCCATACATCATCGTTGACTCCATAAATCAATATCATCTGGAGATTTCTGACACAAAAACATAGCAACCCTGTTAATGCTGATGGTGCTGAGCTAAAAAACAAAACAATTATAGTTATATGGCATTGTTCTCTTGAGTATGCTAAAATTTAGCATACATTTCTGTAGAGAAAGTGTAATTTGAATCTTCTTCAATTGTGTTGAAGTCGCTTCCTGAAATCTCTGTTGACAGCCAGAGAGGTGTTACTGTGAAGTCTAGGCCCTCACATAACTAAATGTGAAAAAGTCACAAAATCGGTTTTTGTTCACAAACTGTCACATAAATTGTGACCTTGTTCATGAAAGTCAGCAGATTTGTAAGTTATGTATTTTAATAGGGAGTATATTTGTGCCTGAAACATGTATGTTGTCCAGACAAAATGAGGAAACATCAACATGGCAACCAAGAAAACAGAACTAATAAAAAACTGTTGCACTTTAACCTAAATTGTGATTATTTTCTAAACCTATGTACTGTACCAGTAGCAGCCCAGCATAGTACAATACTGAAATTTTCACCACAGTACTGCAAACTAACATTTCCTAACACAAAGTCAGCAAAGATGCACAGAAAAGAAGATCAGACACCAGCGAGGGAGGATAAGAAAGACAGATGCAACAACATTGTCATCCCCTATGTAGCCGGTGTATCAGAGAAACTCAGAAGAGTTTTCTCCAAACACGACATCCCAGTACATTTCAGACACAGCAACACACTCAGACAAAAACTTGTTCACCCGAAAGACAAAACTCCAAAGCACAGTCTTAACAATGTGGTGTATGCTGTACAATGCAGCGAGGAATGCCCAGACCTCTACATTGGAGAGACCAAACAGCCACTTCACAAGCGCATGGCACAACATAGAAGAGCCACCTCCACAGGACAAGACTCAGCAGTCCATCTGCATCTTAAGGATAAAGGACACTCTTTCGAGGATGCCAATGTTCACATTTTGGACAGAGAGGACAGATGGTTTGAAAGAGGAGTGAAAGAAGCCATCTATGTCCACTGTGAGCGACCATCTTTGAACAGAGGTGGTGGTTTACAACACCAACTGTCTGCCATCTACAGTATAATCCAGTTTTGAGTTCCCTCCCCAGACACCTTAACGCCCACTCACATCCTGGGCCATCTGACCTCAGGAAATCGCATGATAAGGTGGGGCCAGGTTTCACAATGAACACACCCGAAACTCTGGCTGATTGGGACCCACACCCGTTTTCACACCTTGGCTCATGTGATTAGAGCAGGGGTAGGCAACTCCAGGCCTCGAGTGCCGGTGTCCTGGAGGTTTTAGATGTGTCCTTGATCCATCACAGCTGATTTAAAGGGCTAAATGACTCCTCAGCATTTCTTGAAGTTCTCCAGAGGCCTGGTAATGAACTAATCATTTGATTCAGGTGTGTTAACCCATTGTGCAATCTAAAACCTGCAGGACACCGGCACTTGAGGCCTGGAGTTGCCTACCCCTGGATTAGAGGATGGGGGTCCTTTTGAATAGAATAGAATAGAATAGAATAGAATAGAATAGAATAGAATAGAATATCTCTTTGGGGGGAAACTCCCACTGGGTTTAAATCTGGGACTCTCCCCCATTTGACCTTAGAACTGAAGAAGCTTCTCAGATGAGAGATAAGACGTGATCTAGCAACTTAAAGAAGTCCAGACGCTTTTCTTTGCAAGCTCCTTAGACTACGATGACCTGGATGACTGAGAACCTTCACAGACATACAATGCATAAACTCAAGCTGTATTCCACAGATGTAAGACATACATTCTAGGTTAACTAGTGACTTTAAATTTGCTCTAGGTGCAAATTTGGATGTGTCTGTGTGTTTTCTGTATTTGAACAGAAAAGACTACTGCTCCCACCCAGACCCTGAGCTAGATAAGCAGAAAGAGCTGAATGGACGGACAAATTATGCGTGAAAATCTGTGACACGTATGACTCAAACTTGGGTCTCTGGTGTGAGCAGTAAAATATCAATTTCATTCCATGAAACAACTTCCACAAGTTTTGCTTTTTAAAATTCAATTCACTTCTATTTATGCAGCGTCAAAGCACAACAGTCACCTCAAGGCACTTTATATTGTAAAGTAGACCCTACAATGATACAATAGAGATAACCCCAACAATTATATGACCCCCTATGAGCAAGCGCTTTGGCAACAGTGGAAAGGAAAAATTCCCCTTTAACATGAAGGAACCAGGCTCAGGGAGGAACAACCATCTACTGCAACCAGTTGGGGCGAGGGGAGGAAAATACTGATATGTGCACGTGGACGTGAATCCATAGTTATATGACTGGACAGATTAAGAATTGTTTTCAGGAGCATGAAGAAATCGTTAAATTTACATCCAAAAAGACAAATCAACAGATGAAAAGGCCATGACTACTTCACAAACTGATGTGAGAGTGCATTGCACCATGGTAACACAGGCTCATTTTAAATGACCAAATAATTACTACCAAGTTCAAATAATATATTTTCCCTAGCACAGTCAAACCTTATATTTAAAGACTACTGACGGGCTATTAAATTCTTCATTTAAAATACATGATTAATTATTTAAAACAAATTGGTTTGGTTTGGGGAAAGTCAGGGTTCAAATACAATAGTTGTCACTTTTTTCAAAAACTGTGGATAACAGATATGCCACTGACATGAAATAGAAAATACCTTATTGAAAAGTTTAAGGTTTCAGTTGATGCTGTGGTATAGTGGCTAAAGGGCTTGTTTGTGTGGCTCTCCAGAGTGGTGTTGCTCTCTTAATTGCTCTCTAAGGGGAATGAAGTTAATGACCTGTTGACCTCTCATAACATAATTGCTGTTATACCTTGGGAAGAGCAACACTAGAATCCTCTGAAGAGCTCATTAATAAAGTTAAACTCTTATCCAACATTGGTCTCAACAGGTAAAAAGTTACTGTTTGTGTTTTGACAGCTATCCCATGAGGCCAACAGACCTTGACCACTGGATCATAATTAGCTGGCTCTAACCATTTTCCCTGAGGCCTACTGTTTTCCAGCAAGGGACCCAATGGAGGTCATGCTGGAAATTTGTAATTATGGCACTTGTATTTCATCATTGTGACTGTAAGTTCCTAAACTTTAATTTCACAAAGATGTCACATACACACGAGCACACACATCTTTGACACATTTACTATGTACTTTCATTTCACAGAAGAACAATAGTTTGCGGTCAGGTGACTTACTTTCAGAATAAAAATATTACTTGTTAAATTATTTGACCTTAAATAAATTATCTCATAATTACCAGTTAAAATATAAAACTTGGGTTAAATGCCCACACATTCAAGCTGTGTACACTGTGTGTACAGACTGTAAGCAATCACTTCCAGTACATAGGGTTAAAGCTGAAAACTGGTTCAAAAAGCACTCCACTGAAAAATGAAAATAAAACAGGTGCAGATTGAAATGAATACTACAAGTCTGACCCCTTATCACTGATTTCTGTTACCTGCTGAAAATAAAGCTCAGGCTGGACTGAGGTCAGCATATATTCATTTTTTTTTACATCATGCTGCCGTTGTGTTAGCATGTGTTAGGATGCCTGGGTCGTTGACCCAGGGTTTTGAGTTTATATATTATTTATCATTTCTATGCTTTGGTTTCTTTGTTAGAGTTAATTCTTATGGTTTGACTCTGTGTAATCCTTAGTTGCTGTCTCCCCTGTCCGCTATATCCCCGTGTCCAGTCAGTGTCTGTGTCTGCCCTGGTCCCACGTCTCTGTTCCCTCTGTTGTAGTGCCTGCATGTGAGTCTGTGTCTTTTGTTCAGTCTGTGTTATGTGTTTCCTGTTTTACTTTGAAGGTCTCTGTCTTATCTCAGTGTGTTCGTTTTACGCTCCCTTGTCTCGTCAGTTGTGATTTCCCCCAGCTGTGCTCTCCTTCTGTGTCTCATTCCCCTCGTTACTTCTCAGTGTATTTAAACCCTGTGTTTCTCTGAGTCAGTGTCATGTCGTCCCTCATGCTGTGTGGATCTCCCTGTGAGTTTTGTTTATGAGTTTCCAGTTTAATTTAGTTTGCTTTTTATGACTTTCCCCTGCCAGAAAATAAAGCTGAGTTTTTTTGTGTTTAAACCTCATGCCTGAGTGCCTGCATTTTGGGTCCAACTCCTGCCTGCCACACAGCGACTCATGACAGCATGTTGTCTTTGCAGATACTTGGTAAAGTGCAAATTGACCAAAATAACTACTGACTACATAAAAATCAATCCACATACGACTCTTAGGCCTATCTCTAGTGACCCCGAGGGACTTTGACAAAAAAACACCAACTAGAAGAATGTGAATACTCTTCTTCTGCTGGAACAAGAAGGCATAAGAGATGAGAACAGGCTGCTGTTGAAATGCTACTACGCAAGTAACCCCAGTGCAAAGGGTTACATGAAGAGGATGTAGAACCTATGAAATCTTCAATACCCAAAGGAGCACTACAGACAATCCCTAAGCTGACCATCACTGAACCCAACCAGCTGATCTACAGCATGGCAGCAGTGTTCAGTCAGATGCTTAGCTACAGGATGAAAAGCCACGAGGAGAAGACTAGATCAAGGTGGCACAGAGGGAAGTTAGCCAATTATCAGAGTTGCACAAAGCTGTGATGAAAAAGGTGCCTAAGAAATACAGCAAGCTGC